GTGTTGTGTTGTACTGTGTTGTGTTGTACTGTGTTGTGTTGTGTTGTGTTGTACTGTTGTACTTTATTGAAAAATGTTTTTCCCAAAAAATAGTCCTCATTAGCATAGCGTAGCATAGCGTAGCTCGACGTAGTATCGCTGACAGCAGTTGACGAGTAATCTCATTCAGAATTAGTCCAAATTAAAGTGAAAATAAAGCAATAGGTCAACAATTCCATTTTGAAAAACAGTAGTTCACCGATATGAGACCTGAGTTCTCCTGCTGCTCAGACTTTACTAGTTTACATCAGGTGACACAGAGCAGACTGGACCACCACAGACGTGTAGGCTAACGCCAACATGTTGTCTCATTCCAACAGTTTGAAAGATCTTCTGGCTGTCAGACCAGCGGATCAGCATCAGGAGGGAACTAGAGGAGGGCAGCCATCTTGGATCGATATCACAGGAGTGTCTGGAAGAAGGAGGTTTCACCGGTCCTCTTCATCATGAGCATGTAAAAATACCCCGGCATCATCTCGTGTCTTCACACAGTGTGAGGTGAAGGAGCTGGGGCAATTACACTCATCTGCATGTGTTAATATGATTAATTAGCAGGAATAAACACTTTCCTATGTCACAGGCTGCACGGTGAGCAACACACCTGCAGGAGCTCTGATAAAAGACAACGCCTCATGGCAAAGAGCCTTTTCATGAGACCTGCTAATTGGCATCTGAGAACGTTCCGGCTAATTAGGGAAAGGCAGATGAGGCTTGATTAGTTTGAATGCAAAGTGTAACTTGTGGTGCGGTGGGACTCGGGAATGTGCCGAGGTTTTATTTCTTCACCATCACGATACAAAGATAATTGTAATTGTGATCATTTGCATACGTTAATGAATTTGCGTGACGCTTCTTGATCAGACGTGGAATAAATAATTGATGCAGTATCAGCACCTACCATGACAAGTGGGATGTTTTGAAATAGCTAAGCGCATTGTGAGTGTGATGGCTGCGCTGCTCTGAGGAAAGGTGTGAAAGCGGAGCAGATCCTATCGTCTGCTTCGCTGCTAGCACACAAAGATGAACTCACAACTTCGGATGCTACATGAGACTAGCTGTTCTCCCCCAGCATTAACAAGGCACGCAGAGCTGGAGCGAATTAGACGCAGCTCAGGAAAGGTTTTTTTCAGGAACCATGCAGAGCGGCGGAGAACAAAGAGCCGAACCAGTCTGTGTTTGGAGCTTTAATTGGAACATGGTAAACAGTAAATACATCAGATTGTTTCAAATGCCCTGGATGTAGAGGGGGCCACTCCCCTTTAATTAGGCTGTTTCAGATTAGGCTTTATTAGAGGCAGGCAGCCACGGAGCCAGGCAGCCACGGGATATGCCCTGAGTTCAGCCTCCCAGGAGCTCCAGCAGCACAGATACAGGGCTCATGTTTAATTGCTTCTGTAAATGGTCAGAGCTCAAGCCCCCTAATTCCATTCCTCGGGGTAATCAGGCATGTTTTCACCATACAGGGCTAAAGAGAGTGAGAGAGACAGTCACATCCACCATGCTAGGTACCATGCAATACAAGGCCACTCTAGAGCCTCTACGGGGCTTCAGAGTGACCGCAGCCCGCTCCGTGACATGTTACAGGAAAATCATTTTAATAGGATTCTTGATTTGAACAGGTATCTGATAAAGAAATCAAACAAAGCCTTCACCGGCTCATTTTAGTTCTGGAACAGCAGCAACATTACATTTTGTTTTCCTTGAGAGTGTAAGACGTCTCTGCTGTGGGTTTGAGTCTCACTCTAAGGTTTCCCAAGACTCAACATCTTCACACACCAAACCATTTTACAACTATTCCTCAGTGTGTAAGATCTCAGATTAACATATACAAGAGAGAGATCAAGAGTTCATTAAAAACACTGATGCTCGGGGGAAATAATGCTGCACGGGATAAGCAGAGCTCCGTCCATCAAACGCTCATTCAAGCATCTGTTATTCCCTCTTCAGCTGGCGCAGGCTTTCATCCTTATTGTTCTACCACAGCTTCCTCTTGGTTCCGAAGAAGCCTTTTGCCAGTGAAGTCCACACACACTGCAAATCTTTGATGATACACAGACCACTTTAACATTGAACACAACATTAATGTGAATTTGTATGCGGCAGATAGTCTCTGATACGCTGACGGACGGGGACCTCGGTGAGAAACTGCGTCCCCCCCAGCTAGGGGAGGCCGGGCGGTGATGAGAATCCACAACAACAAGGACAGAAGCTGGAGAAGAAGAGTGCACCGAGGAGAAGTGAAGCTCGGGGGGGGGGGGGG